TGTCCCAAAAATGTCTCGCAATCCGAAAGTGGCGGGTTCCTCAGGTCATTTGAAGCAACTTCTCCCTTTATAAAAATTTTCTCCGAGGCACCGTTAACGAGTTATTAGCGAAAAACAGTGACCAATAAGAATCGAGTACGGCTGACGCGAGGCGGCCCAACCAACCAGCGCACGAAGCCCAGTTCCGCTCATTGGCTCGGTCGCCTCGCGCCAGCTGAGCTCGCCTCTCATTGATCAGTGTTTTTCGTTAATAACTCGTTAATGATGCCTCGGAGAAAATTTTTGTAAAGGAAGAAGCTGCTTCAAATGATCCGAGGAACCCGCCGTTTCCGGATTGCGAGACATTTTTGGGACACCCTGTAGATTCCAAGTGCAAGTATAACTAGTAACGAGAACAGTAACCGCTGCGACTGCCACTAACTCTAATCAAGAATACACGATATCTTTGATCTCCGTTGCATCTATCGCGAGCGTACCGAACTCTCGGTCACGATATTATCATGGAAGTGACACAAGTTCCTGGGTGGATAAGGAACTTGAAATTGAGTTTGTAGTCCGTAGAAACTTGCGGCGAGCGGTATCGGTGCAGGGGGATTCGAATTTGAAATGAATCTTTCGATAAAGGCACACTTCGACGGGAAACGAAGCTGAGAAACTGCTGGCGGCCGACAAAATGGCGACCGTCAATAAGGAATTACGTTGAAATATTTACCTAGACTGGCGTCGTAGGTGTTCATGTACTCGCTGGTCATGAACTGCGAGACCAGGGCAGTTTTCCCGACTCCGGATTCACCGAGCAACACGACTCGGTATTTGGGGATATCGTCGATCTCGTCGCTTTCCGTGCTGTCTGCTGCAATCCCTTGTCCACTGCAACACGATCCGTCGAAAGGAGATCTTTCCCCTGACACGTTGCTGTTCCTGGAATGAAAAGTCATCGAATGCTGTAGAGTTGAGGAAAGTTGCGGTACTCGACACGCGGGAACAGTAAGAATAAACTGAGTCCGAAATTTTGTGGCTTTCTTTCAATATCTAGTGGGCCAACTGTCAAAGTGTTCAACACATTTTCTCCAGTTTTCAATCGTAACATGTTCTAATGACGCAATATTCATACAATAACTGAAACATTTCTAATTAATTTAAATTGTGCAAACACAGAATTAGAATAAATTTTGTATATATATATGATCTTCCATTTCTTTCTTTATTCGCATTGTTGTACAAGAATATTAATAATATTTAATTACCGATATCCCATTTATTATTGAATTACGCAGCTGTTTATATTTCCTTTCAATTCTCGTTGAGCCGAATATTTAAACAGGCAGTTAAGAGCAGATCCATTCGTTCATACGAAATAAATAAAATTCCACGCGTTGTTTATCCGATTTACAGAAAATGTTCGCTAGTGAATCGCTTTAGAAACGCGCTTTATAATAACTCCGGTACGAAATACTTCGTAAACACCGGCATGAATAATTTTCCGAGCGTCTTATGATTTTGTGCACTAGGAACGCGCGATAATAGTTTCCCAGCACAAATGACCGTGGAGGAATGTTCGGCGAACACAGCCGACCCGCCTTGTGTTGCGACGCAGCGAACTTCCAACGCTATTCACTCATTAATCAACTTTCCAGCCACGCGCAACAGATTCTCGCGAACTGAACAATGTAGCTGCCAGTGCAACAGGTCCACGAGGAGACCGAAAAGCATCCACGCCGAGTTCCGGCGCGCTGCGCCGTCCCCAGTTACGCGAGGTTACGTTTAAACAGCTTCGGAATTATTAACTATCCCATTCGGCCCGTGCGTTTCCTATCCGAGGAGAACAGAATCAGACTTCTATTCATCTGTACGCAGGAAACCACGTGCACGGAATTACTCGAGTATGTTACAGAATCGGGACCGCCACCATTTGTCGATGGAACAGCGGAGCAGCTTTACGGTGCCCCGTTGCGATATTTCAGGCCAGAAATAAAAGTTCCGGCTTGCATTGCGCTGTACAAAAGGAATCGTGATGATCACTTCAGAACGTTTCGTCAAAACGTGAATCCGAAAATAGCACTGTATTGTTGCTCTCGGGTTTCGACTTCTTTCGCCTTGTTTCGAATAAATATTTATCTGAGACAATTATTCGAATTCTTTTAGACGAACGTTTTATTCGAATAATTCTTTGTATTCGAATATATTTATACGAATACATTCAGGATCACTTCAATTTCAACTACTTGTAGAATTATAAAATTGCCGACGCCTTTCTCCGCGCTCGTAGAGAGATTATTTAGTTATGCATCGATGATTTATCTACCAAAAAGTAACGAACTTTTCGATGCAACATTTGAAAAGAGAAATATGAAAAAGAGGAATCGATAAATTAAAAAGAAACACTTTTTATATTCTATCATCTTTATTCGAATCGATTATTTTCTGTATGAATTTCTGTTCGAATGAATCCTTATTCGAATAGAAATCTTAGTCGAATAAATTTCTGTCTAGATGAATTTTTATTAGAATGGATAATTTATTCGACAGTGTCGAATAAAACTTTATTCGTCAGACTTTGTCTCTTATCTCTGTCATCCGAATAAAATGTTGTGCAACTCTGGAGAAAATAAGCTGTTTCATTGTCATAATACGCATCGTTGTGTCTTCACATATATGGGAATTAATTTAGATTAAGCTGTCTACTATTAAAATTATATCTTCGATTGTGTTTAATATTTACCGATAACCTTGACAAACTTATGCTGTTCACGTAACGGAGATGTTATCTTCGATAAAACTTGTTAATAATGGCTTTAAAAATATCGCTCTTTAAATATCATTTAAGTGCGATTAAACGTTTACAACGATTTGAAAACGAAGTGTAATTCTGTAGAAAAATCATTTGAATAACTTTCACGGTTATGGTGAAAGATCAAATTCTGAAGAAATCCTGAAAAATTGAAACATTGAAGACCATCTTTTCCACGTGGAATGAGAACGATTTGTCTTTCGTGAACGTTTATTTAATTTCCCTCTTTGTGATAGATGCATTTTATGCCGAATGCTTCACAACGGTGCAGAACACACGTCCCCGGGATTGAGAAACGGATCGCATTTCCATTTTAACCGCATCATTCGAACTGGCAATATGATCGCGGGTTGCTACTCTTTCTAACTTGTTTTCAGATCGAGTGCCACATCGTAGGGTCGTTGAAACGAATACATTTCTGACGAGCAGCACATTTTATTTCCCAGTTTCTCAGCATGGGCGCCGTCACCCACCGGTGTGCCCCGAGGAAACCAAAGAAGCACCATAGTCTGTCTGGCTGTCTAATAATCCGATTCCATTTATTTTCAAAGAAGCTCTCTACGATTCGAAAATTGTCATTCGTAATTTTCATTCAATCACACCGTAATTCGTAGTTCATGTAATTTAATGACTTAGTATTTTGTACTGCAATTTCAATTACGAATTACATACATTGTAATTTAAGATTTGAATTACGGATTAATTGGAGATTTCAATTACGAATTACACACAATGTGATTGAATTATATTTTTATTGAATTACAATGCTATTGAATTACTTAATAATTATAACACCTCGAGCAAAACTCATTTGCGATTCTGCACAATTCTGACTTCAACGCATCAATTTTTTCAATAGTATATAATTTTTAAGATATGAGAAAATAATTAAAAGAAAATGTTCTCTTCGTTTGATCGCAACAAACTAAACTCGCACGGAAAGCTCGCGCTTCTTTTAACAATCTCAATGATCTGAAAGCGATGTCACCTATTCTTGAGTACTTTCAATCTTTCCATTGTTTCAAATTGCACGTATTCATTGTCGTCGTAAATGCGTAAAATCCGCAATCTACTGATCACATTTTTCACGTTCCAAATAAGATTGTAGGAAGATCCATACATGTAACGCTCGCGCATACTTACAGATTAGTTTACAAAATGAAAACTGACAAGATGTTCGAAAAGCTTGTGCTACACCGAATTGAACTTAATATTACTGCAAACGGAATTAACCACGCCGTGAAGATTCCGTAAAGCTCCAACGGGAACCAAATGCCGACGATCTCGCATTTGACGCGCATCGATTTAGGTTGCCGGCGCTCACGGTCACATCCGAATCGAATCATTCCGGCGATAGGTTCGCAGCGTCCGTAAAATCGGTTTCCCCCAGAAAATTGAATATTCGAATCAGTGGTACATTACACGAAACATTGCGCGAGTCCTCCTTAGGGAAGCAGGGCTCGTGGCTCGATTATCATGGAACGACCCTCGAAAAGAGGGAGACGAAAGAAAAGAATCAGGGGCCGAGTTACGCTTCGTATTCTCGATTTCGTCGCGACAATTTCCTCTCCGATCGACGCTCGACCTGTTCATCGATCGTTCGACGAAAATGACTAAACGAATTCACGCGGACGCAATGTCGGATACGAAACGGACGCGCAGAAAGCTGCGACAGACGCCGGATTAGCCCGAGTTCGAGGGAAAATGAACGTGAGCCGGTGGAACGGCTCGACACGATCAAACGCGAATCTCAGCGTGAAACGGGAAAACCTTTTCCCACCCTTCGAGGGGGTGGTTTACGATGTCTGTCGTGCGTAGGCTCGAGCTGTATCGAAGATTTTCAAGTTCCGGAGGTTAGTTCAAGGAAAACAACTACCGTCGAGAGTTGCTTGCACGGCAAACTTTGCTTTCTATCGGATGAAACGGTGTTTGCGCTGCAAGAAGCTCAGCTGAGCAAAGATCGATTTTTATCGCATTCTTTTAGAAAATAATGTTTCCTAAAATGCTATAGAACAAGCCTAAAATCTGACAAGTTAATGGAATTCGAATTTATCGTGAATTTTAGTGTAGCTTGAATTTTATGATCGCGATCAGGAGCGTCAGAAAATACAGAACTCTAGAAATTCTGATATCTTATTAAAAGATCAATTTTTTCAGCTGATAATTCTGTCGCACGACCTTCCTATCCAAGAATAACAAAACTCTTGCAAACTAACGTTCGATCGTTTAGGTATTAAAACTACTCAAAGTTGCGCGATTCACGTATTTGCAGAATGTTCGAGAGGACATCTGAAAAAACAACTAAAAAAGAAAAGAAGATCGCTGAGATGAAATAGAAGCAAGCATCTGAGAACCGGTCGCACTTTTTATACATTTTACGTTTAACGTTTTGTAATATTGTGTAATCCAACTGACGCAAGTAGGAATGCAATATACGTCCGCAACAATGTTTTATTCTTGTAGTGACCGAACTGTAACTGCATACCTATTTTAGAACATCCATACGTCCCCGACTGCTCTGGTCCTCGTAAATTGTTATAAACAACCTTTGTGTAACGCAACACGGTTTAACTTTAACGGGGCTTGAAAGTTGCGAAAGATCTCTGGTACAACGTTCGTCGTTTTGCTATCTTTTTGGACCGAATCCTGCCTGCCATACTAATTTAAGAAAGTTGTATCCTAGCAACAATTTGGTGTAAATTAAATTCGTAGCGCAACGTTTATTCCAGTATTTTCAACACATTCGAATAAAAATTCCAACAAAAACTTTCACCGCGCGGTGTTTAATTAATATCACACACACACGCGCGCGCGCGCGCGCGAGTTTCGGTGGAACGTTTCGCGTGCGATATTGAAAAATCAAACATTTCGCTCAAATATTTGTCGGCGGCCTTCTTTTTTAGCGACTGCGTACCGAAAAACTCGCCAACTAATCGATGAAAGCCAGCGACGCGATGATAAAATAAATACCGCAGCCGACGTTGCATAGAAATGCAAGTTCATAGCGGAATGAATTCATAAACATGCGCTTCTCGGCCAGAGAGCCGCGGTAGGAGTAATCATTGACGATCCCGATGAAAAGCTAGCCGCGATGAAACGCGTTTTACTCGAACGATTGCTGTCGTCCGTG